CTCTACAATGGAGTTTATTCGGCCACCGATCACGTAAACGTGGTCATCGTAAGCACAAGCCCCATGAAAAGAATGACCAATAAGCATAGAAGCAACGGGGGTCCATTCGTTTATGATAGCATCATAACGTTCTGCAGTTGACAGACTCTCGTCCTCATTGACACATCCGCCTGCAGCATATACATTATTTTCTAATAAAACAGTAGTTAGACCCGTTCTACGCTCTTTCATTGGTGACACGGTTAGACTTTTTCTACACTTTATCAAAGGTAAGTGGCTGTAATTGGATATATAAAATACTTTGCAGTATTTTTGTGGCTTCTTTAAGGCGTGGTGTGATCCGCCGGCAAAGAGAACATAAGGTATGCCATAGCGATTTAGAGCTTTTATATCGTTGGGCCAACATCCGAATTTTCGTTTCCTATTTGAGAGTGAACGCAACAGCTTCTTATTGAGCAACGGTTCAGTAAGAGCATAATCTTTTAAGAATTTAACTTTGAGGCGCTTCGAATCAACGTGTTCCATTAATTTCTCGATATAAAATTTTCGACCTTCTCGGTCATAGTTAATCCAATTAAAAACACTTTTGAGAGCGTTCTCCTCATTTTGCACGCAGAGGCCATCGTCAGTTAAAATTACTTCGATCTATGAAGAAATAATTTAAACTTTAAATCGATATAAAAATGTCCAGTTTTTAAGGAAAAATATATGCGAACTCTATGTGCGCAGAGTTATTTCATGTCCAGTTTACATACCTTTTCAATCGACAATTTTAAAAATCCCTCAGCCTCAATTAGCTGAGCAAAATGTCTTAAAATGTACCTGAAGCAGCGATCAGCCAGCTCCTCGCCTAAAACGCTATCTGCAAAATTTGTGCACTTTTACCTAAAGTATCCATAAAGGATTTCGTTAAACTCACCACCAATGCCCCAAATATCGAAACAATTTCCTAGGTCTATACTGGACTTGAGATGTTGTTTACATTGTTCCTCTACCCAGTCGATCTGAAGAAAATTTGACGTAACAAGAAGGGATTGGCCGGCGCCTTCGATTATTTCAATCTTGCCATTGTAGAGATAATTGATAATCGTTTTAAGAGCGCCGGCATCGACATACTCATTTTCAATGGTGGGTGCCTTTTCTTTATCATTCTCTGAAACTTTATAAAGAATTGTTACAGAATTATCGACAGGCAATCTTAGGGAAAGACTTACATTGAAAGAAAGGAGAGTTGGCTGCCAATACTGCTTTGTGGGCGTAGATATATTCACCGTTCACTTCCAAAATAAAGTCGCAATCCTAGGAAGTTGGGCAATATTGAGTTAACTTCTAAATGCACTGACTGACTAATTTTGCTGCTTACCTTTTGGTCAGGTAGCATAATCTTAACAAAAGTTGGATCCTTATAAGTCTTAATAGCATTCGGCTTACTATTGGAGAAAAAAAAATGAAAATATATTAGAAATGAAGTGATATACACAAGTCATCCTGCTTTTGCCAAATTCATTGGATCTCGTAACAAACTAATTAAGTAACTCCAAAGCAGATCTGCATGAAAAACCTAATAGATTCATTAATTATCTTATCGTACGAGTAAGAAGAAGGAAAAAGCTTTTG